ATTTTCTATTGCTAATGTAAGAGAAATGAGATTAGGAAGTAAGTTTTTGAAGACAAATTTTCAGCTTCAGTGAATTGTTGGTACCACTTTTCTTAATAAATAATATTAAATATAAAGTGAAACCTTTCTCAGGAAAAAAAAGTTAGCATTCTGGAGAAAGGAATAAAGGAAACAGTGGTTTATTGGCTGTTGTTTTGTTTTTGAGACAGGGTCTCATTGTTGCCCAGGCTGGAGTGTAGTGGCACGATCATGGCTCACTGCAGCCTCGACGACCTGGCCTCAAGTGATACTCCTGAGTATCTGGGACCACTGGTACATGCCACCATTCCTGGTGAATTTTTTAATTTGTAGAGACGGGGTTTCTTTGTGTTGCCCAGGCTGGTCTTGACCTCTTGGGCTCCTACCTCCTCCTCTCAAAATGTTGGGATTATCTGAGTCACTGCACCTGGCTAGAAAGCAATGTTGGTCCAGTGTCCAGGGCCTAGTACTCCTAGGAAGTATGAATTTACGAACAATTAATGCCCAAATGAGTTAACAGAACTTGGGTTTAAATTGACAGGTCTGTGACCAAAGGCAATACAATACAGTTCTCTGCTTCATTTTATTACCATCTGTGGAATGGGACAATAACTGCAGGATGGCTGTAACTGTGAACATTAAAGACTTAAAATGTGTGAAAGCCCTTTGTAAATTGCAAGGTGCTATGCATATGTTAGCCAAAGCGGCATCAGCAGCAGCCGGGTAACACTTGTTACTGGTTGTTTTTTTTTTTTTTTGAGATGGAGTTTTGCTCTTTCACCCAGGCTGGAGTGCAGTGGCATGATCTCGACTCACTGCAACCTCCGCCCCCTCCCCTGGGTTCAAGCAATTCCCTGCCTCAGACTCCTAGGTAACTGGGATTATAGGTGCCCACCACCATTCCTGGCTGATTTATGTATTTTTGGTAGAGATTGTTTTACCATGTTGACCAGACTGAGGCTCAGGCAGTCTGCCCGCCTCAGCCTCCTAAAGTGCTAGGATTTTAGGTGTAGACCACCATGCCCAGCCAGTTGTTATTTTTTTCTGGCTGTAGCTGAGTAACATTTCCAAACCACAGTTCTTCCTGGGTTGGCATAAGTTGGGTTGGCCTTGGCCAATATTGAGCCGGGGTTTGGGGATACTGCAGAATTTGCATAAATGTACATTTAGGCTGAATAGAAAGGGAGAAAAGGCTGTAAAAATTAATATGAGTCAAAAGGAATGGTCCCTAATCATAAATTGCACACTTCCCCTCCCAACCATCCCCAAAACACTCATAATATTTGATAAGAAATTACCATGGTGGCAAATAGCTACAACAAAAAGAAACTATTCTTTCAGTATAGCATAGGGTGAAGCTGAGTAGGTTTTTTTTTTGAGACAGAGTCTCATTCTGTCACCCAGGCTGGAGTGCAGTGGTTCGATCTTGGCTCACTGCAACTCTGATGCCCTGGTTCGAGCGATTCTCCTGCCTCAGCCTCCCGAACAGCTGGGATTACAGGCACCTGCCACTGTGCCCTGTTTAAATTTTGTATTTTTAGTAGAGACGGGGGTTTTGCCATGTTGGCCAGGCTGGTCTCGAGCTCCTGATCTTGTGATCCACGACCCTCAGCTTCCCAAAGCGCTAGAATTACAGGCATGAGCCACCTCGCCAGGCGCGAAGCTGAGTAGATTTTAAGAATTATTGGAGTCCCCAGCACTTTGGGAGGTTGAGGTGGGTGGATCACCTTAGGTTGGGAGTTCAAGACCAGCCTGACCAACATGGAGAAACCCCACCTCTGCTAAAAATATGGGAAAAAAAATTAGCTGGGCATGATGGTGCATGCCTGTAATCCCAGCTACTCAGGAGGCTGAGGCAGGAGAATCACTTGAACCCGGGAGGTGGAGGTTGTGGTGAGCCAAGATCGTGCCATTGCACTCTAGCCTGGGCAATAAGAATGAATCTCTGTTTCAAAAAAAAAGAGCATTGGAGTCAAACATAACTTGGAGAGGAGACAAAATAATTGGTAAAAAGATGCATAAACAGTGTTGATAATTTTAGTGGTATTTAAGTAAATGAGAAGAAAAGCTGGGACCGGAAGGTGTAATGTTACCACATAGTCAGTGCTGGTTGGAGAGCCTTTATTTTCTTGGCTAGAAACTCACTTCTAAAGAGAAAGAGCACAGATGCCTGTTAACAAATAAGCTTCAAGACAACCCTGTTTGAATTGCCAGCAGGGAGGAAAACTGGGTCACAAGGAGATAATCTCAGAGGTTGCTGGAGGATTGGCCTTGGACATGCCCAGGTGAGGAGAGAAAACACCCAAGGGAGATGTTGGCAGCGGAGAGGGCATCGAAGCAAGTCTGGGCAGTAGGAAAAGGGAGCGATGGAGATGGGGAGGCCAAGAAACATGCATTTTTCGTTGCTTTGTGTGAAGCAGTCAGCCCTGAGTACACTTGTACAGTAGATAAAATTTCTCGAGTCTGTCTCTGTAGGCAACTGGAGACACGCTGACTGCCTGTTTTCCCTCACTGGCTCCACCCCAAATTAACTCACTCTCCCATTTCCTGAGACACTTGCTCTTTGAGAGGTAAAAATCTAGCTAGTTTGATAATAGAATGCATTTTAGGTGTGGAGGGGGCATTTTAGAAGGAATTTTTGCCAACATTTCTTCCCTCAAGAGTAATACAAGTGTATTTTATTTTATTTTATTTTTATTTTATGAGACAGGGTCTCACTCTGTCACCCAGGATAGAGTACAATGGCACAATCTTGGCTCACTACAACCTCTGCCTCCTGGGTTGAAGCGATTCTCCTGCTTCAGCCTCCCAAGTAGCTGGGACTAAAGGCACACACCACCACGCCTGGCTTTTTTTTTTTTTTTTTTTAATTTGTAGTAGAGACGGGGTTTCACGATGTTGGCCAGGCTGGTCTTGAACGCCTGACCTCAGGTGATGTGCTTGCTTCAGCCCCCTAAAGTGCTGGATTTACAGGCTTGAGCCACTGCACCCGGCATACATGTGTATTTTAAAAGGAAGGTTTCTGGAAAGTTGGCCCTAACTCCAAGGAGTATCTAAAATTGGGAGTTTCCGGCACTGCTAATAGACCCGTAGTGGCAGCTAAGACTTTTTTGTGGCTCTCAAATCATAATGAAGCCCAAGAAAGAAAAATGAAATTTTATACTTTGCCTGTCACAGGCATAGAATTCTGAGTAATTTGTACATGAGATTATTATTCCATTTTACAGATTTGAAGGTGGAGCTAAAGTTAAGAGCCTGGTAACCAGCCGTGGGGAGACTGCATTTTCCAAAGGTGGCTGGAACAGTATCTTCCATCTGACATGTTCTTTTCGAACAAGTGTTCACAAACATTTTCTGTTAAAAGCCGTCCAGCACATATTTTAGGATCAGTCAGTTTCTGACCTGACTACTCTACCACTGTGGCACAGCCCTGGGCTATGTGTGCCTGTATGGGCTAGTTTATGTTTGAGAGGTGAACCCATTTGGTGTTCTGAGGGTGATGCTTTGCCAATTTGTGCTCTAGAACTTTGCTACTTCCCTTTACGAGGTAGAGTTTAGGCCAGGTGCAGTGGCTCATACCTATAATCCCAGCACTTTGGGAGGTTGAGGTGAGAGCATCCCTGGGGCCCAGGAGTTTGAGACCAGCCTGGGAAACATGGTGAAACCCCATCTCTACAGAAAAATACAACAATTAGCCTGGTGTGGTGGCGTGTACCTGTATTCTCAGCTACTCCAGAGGCTGAGGTGGGAGGATCGCTTGAGCCCAGGTGGAGCCTGCAGTGAGCCGTGATTGTGCCACTTTACTCCGGCCTGGGCGGCAGAGGGAGACCCTGTCTCAAAAAAACAAAAACCAACAGAAAAAAAAAAAAAAAAAAAAAGCATCCTCTAATTTTCCTTTCCTTGAATCTGGGAGGTTTGTGATTTGCTTGTAATTAAGATAGTTGGAAGGAAGTGACACTGCATGATCTCTGAGGCTAGATCAGAGCCGGTGATGTAACTTTCACCAGTCAGCACATAAGCAGCCCAGTTGTCCTGAGGCTGCCAGGCTGTAAAAAAGCCCAAGTGAGTCCGTGTGGACGACCACCTGAAAAAGCCTTGAAACTACAGGAAATGCAAGGCTATCCCCACTCGTTCCAGCCCTCTCCTGGAGAGCTTGCAAGCTCAAGCTGAGCCGATGGAACTACCCCGCTGACGCTCTTTCCAAATTCCTGACCCCCAGAGACTGAAAAGTGATGAGATGATTGCTTTAAGACATTAAGTGTTGGGGGTGATTCATTCCATCAAAGAAACAACAGCCAGGCGCAGTGGCGCATGCCTATGGTCTCAGCTACTACCCAGGAGGCTGAGGCGGGAGGATTGCTTGAGTCCAGGAGTTCTGGGCTGTAGTGCGCTATGTTGATCGGGTGTCAGCACTAAGTTTGGCATCAATATGGTGACCTCCTGGGAGTGTGGGACCACCAGGTTGCCTAAGGAGCGGTGAACCGGCCCAGGTTGGAAATGGAGCAGGTCAAAACTCCCTTGTTGATCAGTAGTGGGATCGCACCTGTGAAAGCCACTGCACTCCAGCCTGGGCAACATAGTGAGACCCTGTCTCTAAAAAAAAAAAAAAAGGAAAGAAAAAAAAAGAAACAGAACATTTTCCCAAAACTAGTGAGTGGCAGAGATGGGATTCAAACCAAGGCTGGCCTGAGCCCAATCACCTGATCTTTCTATTAAAAATAAATAAAAAATATTGCTAAAAAATGCTGACAGGGACGCAAAGTGAGTACATGCTGTTGGAAAAGTGGTGCTGACAGACTTCCTTCATACAGGGTTGCCACAAAGGCCTAATAAACAAAATTGCAATTGCCGGGCCCAGTGGCTCACGCCTGCAATCCTAGCACTTTGGGAGGCCGAGGTGGGTGGATCACATGAGGTCAGGAGTTTAAGACCAGACTGGGCAACATGGTGAAAGCCTGTCTCTACTAAAAATACAAAGAAAGTTGCTGAGTGTGGTGGTGGGCGCCTGTAATCCCATCTACTCAGGAGGTTGAGGTAGGAGAATTGCTTGAACCTGGAAGGTGGAGGTTACAGTGGGCCAAGATTGCGCCATTGAATCCAACCTGGGTGACAAAAATGAAACTGTCTCAAAAAAAAAGAAAAGTGCAATTAAATAATTTATGCCTTTATTTAAACCTATGTTGGCTTGTGAGTTTGACCAGAGTCTAGCAAACGTTTGTCAAGAAAAAATGTCAGCGAATTCAGATCCTGTAAGACAAAGACAACCTGTCCCAGGAAGGACTTTGCAGCAGCAATTACTTTAACAAGTTACAATTTGCAGAGAATGGCCTTTAAGGGGCTTTGAAGACAGAGGAACCCATGAATCAAGAATAAGATAAGGCTATTTGGTTTGTTTCAACTTGCAGGCTGTTTGACTTCTGCATCAGAGCCATGCCTTGGGAATGAAATCATATCTATCAAACAGCCCTTTCAAAGAACATCCGACACAAACACTCGCTAGCTGCCCCTTGATTTCCTCTGTGTCCGGGGTGTGTATGGACTTGGGGGACTAGCTGTGTGTGGAATCTGAGGGACTAGCTGTGAATTGCGCATCAAATAAATAACCTGCAGGGAGTTGGCACTGGTGACTGTGAGCCATAAATGCTGGTGTTTCCTTACACAGACTAAGCCTGGGCTTTTGGCGGCTTTGACCTTTTCTGGCTTTTTCCCAACCTTAACCCAACATAGCTATGCAAAGGCAGTTCCGGGTTGTGGGGTACACTTTTAAAGTTAACAGCTTGGCCCCCCTCTCCCAGCATCTGTCCTCAGTGGGCCTAGTCCACCTGTGACAGCTGGGAAGAATGGAGTGATCTTTCTTAATCTCCCAGGGTCTTAGCCCAATGCTATGGGCCACTTGTGTCCCCATACCCCAACAAATGCATCTGTTGAAGTCCTAACTCTCAGACTGTAACTGTCTTGAGAGACAGCATCTTTAAAGAGATGATTAAGTTAAAATTGGGTCATTAGGGTCATAATCCAATATGACAGGAGTCCTTCTAAGAAGACAGACGGCAGGATCTACATACACAGACCCAGTGAGGACAGAGAGGCCGGCCACCTGCAAGCCAAGGAGAGAGGCCGGCCACCTGCAAGCCAAGGAGAGAGGCCGGCCACCTGCAAGCCAAGGAGAGAGGCCGGCCACCTGCAAGCCAAGGAGAGAGGCCGGCCATCTGCAAGCCAAGGAGAGAGGCCTCAGAAGAAGCCACCTTGCTGATACTTGATCTTGGGTTTCCAGCTTCCAGAACTGTCAGGAAATAAGCTCCATTGTTTAAGGCACCCCATCTATGGTACTTTGTTATGGCAGCCCTAGCAGACTATCACACCCACAAACAGAATTCACAGCCTTGAGGCTGGGATTTCAGAAAAGTTCCAAAGGTAATCAGCAGAAATCTCAACAGGCAAGGGTCTAGCCTTTTAGTGCAGTTTCTATTTCTTCGTCTTTCCCAGGTGGCCTACAGGCAGGATTGTAAGGCAATGCTGGGGGCTGGGAAGAGGAAGTGCTGACCTGTAAGTCTATCAGGGACACTGAGGTCTCTTGATTCAAAAGGGAAGGAACCAGGGTTCCAGTCCTAGAAAGTCCAGAAAGTAGCAGGGAGACTGGGTAGGTATTTGGGCATGGTCGAGAGGCCCGTATTGTCACTAAGCCCTTCCCTCTTCTCCTAGCTGCCCTAGTCCTTCTTTCCCTGCTCTTCTTCCAGTCTCTTTGACTTTTCCCAGCAGCCCCTCCTGTAACACTGCTTTATTACCAGGTAAGGCAGAAGAAGGGGAAAATTTGGCTTTACCTTCTGATTTAGCATCATGCATGTCCTAATGCTCTTTTAGTTTTTTGTTTGTTTGTTTTGATGGGTGATATGGAATGGAAGGATATTTGCTGGAGTTATTTTTTTGAGATGGGGTCTTGCTGTGTTGTCCTGGCTTAAGAGCAATGGCTATTCACAGACCCCATCACTCCACACTATAGCCTTGACCTCCTAGGCTCAAGCAATCCTCCCACCTCAGCCTCCTGAGTAGCTGGAACTATAGGTGCATGCCACCATGACCTGCCACCTGCTGCAGTTTAAGCAGCTGGCAGGATGGTTAGACGGTCCTTAAAGATACCCATCTTTTAATCTTTGAGATCTGTGGATATGCTACCTTCTAGGGAAAAAAAGGACTTGGCGGATGTCACTAAGCATTTTAAAATAGAAATGTTGTCCTGGATTACCTGAATGGGCCCAGTATAATCATGAGGTCCTTATAAGAGGGAGGCAGGAGGACCAGAGACAAAGACGATGATGTGATGATGGGGGCAGAAGTGTGTGTGAGAGAGGAGGAGAAGGGCTGAAGGTGCACCCTGCTGCAGACAGAGGAAGGGGCTTTGCAGACAGAGGAAGGGGCTGCAAGCCAAGGAACACAGGCAGCCTCTAGAAGCCTGAAAAGGACATGGACTCCCCCCTATACCCTCCACAAGGACAAGCAGCCCTGCTGACCCATTTCTGACTTCTGACCTCCAGAACAGTGAGATGATCTGTGCTGTGTAAAACCACTCTGCTTGTGAGTATAACTGGTGACAGCAACAACAGGAAAGGATACAGGCTGCAAGATGAAAATCCTTGAGAACAACTGCTACCACATTTAATTACTATTATTATTTTTATTTTTTTTGAAATGGAATTTTACTCTTGTTGCCCAGGCTGGAGTACAGTGGCATATCTCAGCTCACTGCAACCTCTGCCTCCCAAATTCAAGCAATTCTCCTGCCTCAGCCTCCCAAGTAGCTGCTATTACAGGCGCGCACCATCATGCCCAGCTAATTTTTTGTATTTGGTCAGGCTGGTCTTGAACTCCTGACCTCAGGTGATCCACCCGCCTCAGCCTCCCAAAGTGCTGAGATTATAGGCGTGAGCCACCGTGCCCAGCCCCTCCTTACCTATTTTAAGTTCAGCCTGAAGATTTCTCATAGTGAACTACATACAACCTAAACGGAGGTGTAAACCGACTATAACCTGCCTTTGTGCCAATCAGTGAGTTCTGGCCAATCAAAGGGGGCCAACTGTTCAAACCGTGTTCAAATAAGGCAAATGCCAAGCTGTAGCCAACCCAACTGTTTCTGTACCTCACTTCTGTTTTCTATTCATTACTTTTCTTTCTTTTTTTTTTTGAGATGGAGTCTCGCTCTTGTTGCCCAGGCTGGAGTGCAACAACGCAATCTTGGCTCACCAAAACCCATGACTTCTGGGTTCAAGGGATTCGCCTGGCTCAGCCTCCTAAGTAGCTGGGATTACAGGCATACGCCACCATGCCCGGCCAATTTTCATATTTTTAGTGAAGATAAGGTTTCTCCATGTTGGTCAGGTTGGCCTCTAACTCTCAACCTCAGGTGCTCCACCCGCCTCGGCCTCCCAAAGTGCTGGGATTACAGGCGTGAACCACAGCGCCCGGCTACTTTTCTTTTCCTGTCTATAAATCGTCCACTACGTGGTTGCACTGGAGTCTCTCTGAGCTACTCTGGCTTGGGAGTCTGCCCGATTCGCAAAGCATTCTTTGCTCAATTAAACTGTGTTAAGTTTAATTTGGCTAAGGTTTTTCTTTCAACATGTCTCTGCAAAAAATTAAAATTAAAAAAATTAGCTGGGTATGGTGGCATGCCTGTAATCCCAGTTTGTAGGGAGGCTGTGGTGTAAGGATTGCTTGAGTTCAGGAGGTTGAGACTGCAGCGAGCTGTGATTAAACCACTGCATTCCAGTCTGGGGGACAGAGTGAGACTCTGTCTCTCCAAAATAAATATGTAAGTTAAAAGTGACCTGGGCTGGTCTTTGCCAACAGAGGGTACCTGTGGAGCCTCTGATGTGTGTATGGGTAGTGTATGTGTATGTTGGATGTGTGTGCTCCTACTGACTCTACAATTAAGCTGATTATTTCACAATTCATGTTTGGTTTGGGATCTGGGAATGATGGTGAAAGTTATTCTCTCAAAGACTGGATCTGCTCCCGAGAATGTGGGAGGAGGAAGAGTCCAGAATTCAGCTTCTAAGTGGCCACAAATGCACAGGCCAAGATCTAGGCTGAGAGCCCTGCACTGCCACACCATAGTCCCAGGCTGGGGCAAGGAGAAGAGGGCTGCTTCCACTCCTCTTTCCCCAATTTCTTGCTTGCCTGAAGCAATTCTAACCTGGCTAGTGGAAAGATACTCACTTTTGAAAACATGAGTGAGGTCAGCCCTTCCAGCCACAGCTTGGAATTGGAAGTCACACATTCATTGATTTCTTTTTTTTGTTGTTTTTGAGAGTCTTGCTCTGTTGCCCAGGCTGGAGTGCAATGGCACAATCTCAGCTCACTGCCACCTTCCCCTCCCAGGTTCAAGTGATTCTTGTGCCTCAGCCTCCTGAGTAGCTTGTACTAGAGACATGCACCAGCACGCCTGGCTAATTTTTTATACTTTTAGTAGAGAAGGGGTTTCATCATGTTGGCCAGGCTGTTCTTGAACTCCTGACATCAAATGTTCCACCTGACTCTGTCTCCCAAAGTGCTGGGATTACAGGTGTGAGCCACCAGCCTGGCCTGATTTCAGTGCTGGAACAGCTTCCTATCTGGGCTGCCTCTGTGGGTCCCCATGGCCTTGTTGATAAAATGGGATGCTAAATGCATTGCTTTAAGAGACGTTTTGAGAGGATCACATGAGATAATCTAGGAAAAAGTCTTAGATCAGAGGGCCTAGAACAAAGTAAATGCTTAATACTGTTATCAATGTAATTAATTGTAGTTAATGATATAAGTCATAATTAATAGCTATGATTATTTCCATGAGCCCCGACATTATCTTTGATTTCCAGGCTTTGCAGGTATAAGAGGTCCTAGACACAAATTCGCCTACACAAGGGATTCAGTCCATCTTACGTTCTGCTACTGACAGCTCTTCCTGAAGTTCTTCAAGGCTGTGTGAAAAGGAGAAGCCAGCCGGGTGCAGTGGCTCATGCCCGTCATCCCAGCACTTTGGGATGCTGAGGCGGATGGATCACCTGAGTTCAGGAGTTCGAGACCAGCCTGGCCAACGCGTCCCTACTAAAAATACAAAAATTAACCGGACCTGGTGGCACGTGCCTGTAATCCCAGCTACTCGGGAGACAGGCAGGAGAATCGCTTGAACCCAGGAGGCGGAGGTTTTGGTGAGCCGAGGTCGCCCCACTGCACCCCAGCCTGGGTGACAGAGCGAGACTCCATCTCAAAAACAAAAAAAAAAAAAAAAAAAAAAGAAAAGAAAAGGAAAGCTCCCTAGAAAATGCTTTTCCCATTGCTTCCCTGCTAATGGGCCTTTTCGCAGCAGGGCAGCCTCCAGCCTTAGGATGTGGCCGGTCTGGTGCAGATGCCCGTTTCCCCTCCTGCCTGCATTCCTCTGACCTGTTCAGTGGGATCTGGTACTTTTCCTCCCACCTCCTCGTGCTGGCCTTCCACAGCTGCCGCCACATTCCACCCCTCCAGCAGCGGAAGTAAGGCACATTTAGGCCATTTCTGGGTGAGTGACAGCATTTGAGATGAGATTAATCAAATGCCAGTGTTAGGGGAAAGCAGCTTTTCCCTGAGTCACCCTTGCTCCACCTTTCTCATGACACAGCATGAGCCTGTCTAACGGCTGGTCTGTGCAGTCCGTGTGTGTCAGCCTCTGGCCAGGAGACAACGGGCGTCTGTGACCTGGGCGTGACCGTCTGTTTGTGCACACAGGTCTGGCACTGCTGCTGGGCGAGGCTGTGTGCCACTGCCCCGGGGTCTGTTGACTGTGCCGCTGAGCACAGGCAGGGATCTGTGCCTATTGCCACGGGCCTCTGTCCCGGATGAGGTATTCTTCCAGCTCACCCACTGTTGCAGGCTTTTCCTCACCTACCACGTGACGACTGAATGAAAGCATTCCAGGAAGCCCATGGGGCTGGGCAGGCCTCTGGAATTTCAAAACCCACAGCCGGGCCCTGCTGGCGGCTCATTTCTGCCGTGTCATTTTCTCTGAACTATAGGAGTAGTTTTGTAGCAAACTTATCACCCAAATCCCACAAACGTTAAACGTTTCTTTCTTAGAAAGGAAAAGCCTACTTACTTTTCGCTGTTGGAAGAGTTTAATTTTTAAGAGTCAAGATATCCCCCGAAAGTCATGATAAAGAATAGGGAAACGGACTGAGAATACCCATCCCCTTTAAAGTCAAATTTATTTTGTTTATTCTGCTTAACTTGCTTAACTACAGGGAAGATTTGATCATATCACATCTGAGTTAGGCCATATGCGCCCAAGGGGACTCTCAGGAGCAAATGAATCTAAACTCCAAGAAACAGACCACTAAGAGCTACCCATGTAGTACTCACTGAATTCCCCTCCTGCCTCTCATAAGAACCAAAAATCATGGCCTCCAACAGATGCTCTCAGAAGCAAAGTCTACCTACCACACACAGAATATGCAGAAGGGAAAAACCAAGCCACAAGTCCCTAAACTCACGGAGCCTGTCCTCCTCCCCTGCCAAGTATAAGAAATGATTTCTACCAACCCACTTCTCTAAGGACATGGTCCCTTGTTCCTCTCTCCCAAGCGGACTTCACAGCCCCCATCATAGAAATGAAGCCCTCGTCATTATATGCCTAGTGATGTTATGACTGCCAAATTCTGTGACTATTTGTGAAGTTTTACCAGGCATGGACACATTCCAACTATTTCCTTCAGTGGCCAAGATCTCTGTGCGGTTGCACAGGCAGTCTCTGTCCTCGCACCCTGTGAGAGGCTGTGTGTGTATGTGGGGTCTGGGAGGGTAATGGAGGGAAGTAGAGATCTCCTTAGGTGAATCACATTACAGTGATTCCTGCTGGTGTGGAGCTTCTTCCTGTTTGTGTGAAGTTCTTCAAGGAGGCACGGCTCACTCAATGCCCCAAACAGAAAGCAATCGTAGGTGAAATTAGCAAATTATCTTCTAGGAGATTAGATGTTGGACAACTTGAAGCATTAACAATAGAAAATAGCTTGTTTTAAGGCAGTGAAACTCAGCATGCCTTTTTTGGGGTTTTGTTTGTGAATATGTTATAATCTAAGAAGGGTAATGTTTTTACAGAAAAATTAGACCTTTATGATTGCACTCCAAATGAGAGACAATTTAGGCTTATTTTTCTTAGAGATTAGTACATCATGTTAGTTCAGAAAGCTTTTGTTAAAAAAAAAGGAAATCATAAATATCAATTTCATCTTAACATAATGCAACTATCATTGTTCTCAACCTGAGTTCTTTATTTTATTTATTTATTTACTTTTGAGACGGAGTTTCACTCTTGTTACCCAGGCTGGAGTGCAATGGCGCAATCTCGGCTCACCGTTCCTTTCTCTACCTCCTGGGTTCAGGCAATTCTCCTGCCTCAGCCTCCTGAGTAGCTGGGATTACAGGCACGCGCCACCATGCCCGGCTAATTTTTTTGTATTTTTAGTAGAGACGGGGTTTCCCCATGTTGACCAGGATGGTCTCCATCTCTTGACCTCGTGATCCACCCGCCTCGGCCTCCCAAAGTGCTGGGATTACAGGCTTGAGCCACCGCGCCCGGCCTGAGTTTTTTATTTTTGACATGTCACAAATTCCTTGAACTACCAATGTTGAACTGACCTCCCCTGACCCAGGGAGTTCAATAATTTTTTCAAAGAATATAATCAAATCTCTGTTCATGCATGCCTACATATATTCATTTTCCAAAAGCATAAATTAATTCTGAGGAACAAAGTAGATTTGTGGTTGCCTAGTTTTGTGGGAGATGAAAATGTGGCTGGGAGCCATGACTCACACCTGTAATCCCAGCAGCATTTTTGGAGGCTGAGGTGGGAGGATTGCTTGAGCCCAGGAATTCAAGACCAGCCTGGGCAACATAGCGAGACCCCATTTCTACAAAACAAAAAAATTAGCCCAGCCTGGTGGCACATGCCTGTGGTCCCAGCTACTTGGGGGACTGAGGTGGGAGGATAACTTTTGCCTGAGGTTGAGGCTATGATGAGTAGTAATCATGCCAGTGCGCTCCAGCCTGGGCTAGAGTGTGACCCTGTCTCAAAACAAACAAACAAAAAAAGGCCAGGCACGGTGGCTCACACCTGTAATCCTAGCACTTTGGGAGGCTGAGGTAGGAAGATTGCTTGAGCCCAGGAATTCAAGATGAGCCTGGTAAACATGGAAAAACCCAGTCTCTACAAAAAATACAAAAATTAGCTGGGAATGGTGGTGGGCGTCTGTAGTCCCAGCTACTCAGGAGGCTGAGGTGGGAGGATCACTTGAACCTAGGAGGTCAAGGTTTCAGTGATTGGAGATAACACCACTGCACACTACCCTACTGGGTGACAGGGCAGGACCCTGACTTTAAAAAAAAAAAGGAAAGAAAAGAAGTCTGGGCACAGTGGCTATAATCCCAGTACTTTGGGAAGCCAAAGTGGGCAGATCACTTGAGGTCAGGAGTTCGAGACCAGGCTGGCCAACATGGAAAAACCCTGTCTCTACTAAAAATACAAAAATTAGCTTGGTGGTTCATGCCTGTAATCCCAGCTACTTGGGAGGGTGCAGCTGGAGAATCATTCGAACCCACGAGGTAGAGGTCGCACCACTGCACTCTAGCCTGGGCAACAGAGCAAGACTCTGTCTCAAAAGAAAAGATATTTGAAGCAAGACTGTGGTGATGGTTGTACAACTCTGTGGGCACATTAAAAAATGCTGAATTGTACACTTTAAACAGGTAAATTTTATGATATATGAATCATTCTTGAATAAAGTCATTTACAATTTAACTTTGAAAGAATTATATGGTCTCATGAAAGTAGTGCTAATATTTTATTAGTGTTAGCAACTTTTTTTAAAATTAGAGATGAGGGCTCACTATGTTGCCCAGGCTGGTCTTGAACTCCTGAGCTTAAGTGATCCTCCTGCCTCAGCCTCCCAAGTGCTAGGATTATAGGAGTGAGCCACCACACCTGGCCTAGTGCTATTAATTTTTTTCAGTTGTTTCCAGTATGTGACTACTAACACAATGCTCTTGAGAAGAACAGATTGGAGAAATTTTAGGCTTCTGAACTCAGGGAAGGCACGGACTGAGTCCCAGGCATGCAAATGCAGTCAGTGAATTTGTTCAGTTCAATGTGTTGTCAGTTTCCTTGGCTTTTCACCCCCAAGTACAGATCCATGAGGTAGGGAATGTTATGCATATAATGCTTGCTTTCTTATCCCCCATCTTTCGTCTCCTCCCACACTGTACAGTCCTACACGCCATCCAGATGTTCTAACAGGTGGGCATATCAGAATCTTGAGGAGGAAGAAAGTGAAGAGCAGGTAGTTTTTGTAATTTGAAAAAACATACAGTAGTTTGTCTTGTAATATAATATTTTGTTGAGGGGCATTTCTTCTTTTTCTGCTATGTATATATTTTTTGGAGATGGGGTCTTTGTTGTCCAGGCTGCAGTGCAGTAACGTGATATCTCACTGCAACCTCTAACTCCTCAACTCAATTCATCCTCCCAAGTAGCTGGGACTGCCCATCTAATATCTCTGATATATATATATATATATATATATATACACACATATATAATCTGATATATATATACATATGTAATCTGATATATATATATACACATATATAATCTGATATATATATGTGTATATATATATATATTTAGATGGAGTCTCACTCTTGCCCAGGCTGGAGTGCAATGGTGTGATCTTGGCTCACTGCAACCTCCACCTCCTGGGTTCCAGTGACTTTCCTGCTACAGACTCCCAAGTAGCTAGGATGGCAGGTATGTACCACACTCGGCTAATTTTTGTATTTTTAGTAGAGACGGGTTTCACCATGTTGGCCAGGCTGGTCTTGAACTCCTTACCTCAAGTGATCTGCCCACCTTGGCCTCCCAAAGTGCTGGGATTACAGGCGTGAGCTACCACACCCAGCCTTCTGCTCTATTCTTTTTTTTTTTTTTGAGACAGAGTCTTGCTCTTTGCTCAAGCTGGAGTGCAGTGGCATGATCCTGGCTCACTGCAAACTCTGCCTCCCAGGTTCAAGTGATTCTCCCGTCTCAGCCTCCTGAGTAGCTGAGATTACAGGGGTGTCCACCATGCTCAGCTGATTTTTGTGTTTTTAGTAGAGACGAGGTTTCAACATGTCGGCCAGGCTGGTCTTGTACTCCTGACTTAAAGTGATCCACTTGCCTCAGCCTTCCAATGTGCTGGGATTACAGGCATGAGCCACCGTGCCCAGCCTATTCTTAAAGAATAATTACAAAATGAACATCCTGAAACCACCATGTAGGCCAAGCTATAGAATGCCCTCACACGCCGAGCCTGCAGGTTACATTCCCTCTGCATCTTTTCCCTGTTACAAACTCCTCCTATCCCAGAAGTAACCACTCTGCTGATGTTGGTCATTTTCTTACCTGTACTACTTCTGCATGCATTCCTAAACAATATAGCTTAATTATGCCTGGTTTTGAACTTTAAATTAAAGGAAGCATACTACAGGTATGTATTCTTCTGTGTTTTGCTTCGTTTACTTAATGTTGTAGGTTGATTCACCTATATTGTTAGTACATATGACTTATCAATTTCCATTGCTATATGAAAATACCATTTCACTGCATGGAAATAAGCAGTAAAATATGGCAGGGCGAGGTGGCTCACACTTGTAATCCCAGAACTTTCGGAGGCCTGCATGGGGTGGATTATTTGAGGTCAGAAGTTCGAGACCAGCCGGCCAACATAGTGAAACCCCATCTCTACTGAAAATACAAAAATCAGCCGGGAATGGTGGCTCAAGCCTGTAATCCCAGCACTTTGGGAGGCCGAGGGGCATGGATCCTGAGGTCAAGAGATCGAGACCATCCTGGTCAACATGGTGAAACCCCGTCTCTACTAAAAAATACAAAAAATTAGCTGGGCATGATGGTGTGTGCCTGTAATCCCAGCTACTCAGGATGATGAGGCAGGAGAATTGCCTGAACCCAGGAGGCAGAGGTTGTGGTGAGCTGAGATCACGCCATTGCACTCCAGCCTGGGTAACAAGAGTGAAACTCGGTCTCAAAAAAAAACTATAAAACAAAAATCAGCTGGGCGTGGTGGCGGACACCTGTAATCCCAGCTACTCGGGAGGCTGAGACAGGAGAATCACTTGAATCCAAGAGATGGAGATTGCAGTGAACCAAGATCATGCCACTGCACTGCAGCCTGGGCAACAAAGATTAAAACTCCGTCTCAAACAACAACAAAAAGAATAAAAATACATTTTACTGTAGATGAATATTTAGGGTATTTTGGTATTTGAACAATGACACCATGAACATTACTGTCCTGTATTTGGCACACAAGTAAAAGACTTTTCTAGGAAATGTTTGGGTTGTTTGCTATGAGTTTCTTCATAATGTCAAATAATTTTTTTTTAAAGTGTATATACATTTAAAAAAATGTATGTAGTCCCAATATACACTCCCATAACAGTAGATGAGAATTCCTATTGCTGTGCATCTTTGCCAATATTTGATATTGTTACAGTTTATAATTTTTTTGTTTTTTGAGATGGAGTTTTGCTCTTCTTGCCCAGCCTGGAATGAAGTGGCACGACGATCTTGGCTCACCGCAACCTCCACCTCCCAGATCCCAGCAATTCTCCTGCCTCAGCCTCCCGAGTAGCTGGGATTACAGGCATGTGCCACCATGCCCTGCTAATTTTGTATTTTTAGCAGAGACGGAGTTTCTCCATGTTGGTTAGTCTTGTCTCGAACTTCTGACCTCAGGTGATCCCCTCGCCTTGGCCTCCCAAAGTGCTGGAATTATAGGCGTGAGCCACCATGCCCAGCCACATTTTATAATTTTTTGTGTCCAGGAACAGTGGTTCACACCTAAAATCCCAGCAGTTTGGAGGTCAAGACAGTAGTTTGAGACTAGCTTGGGCAACATAGCAAGACCTCATCTCTAAAAAAAAAAAAAATAGCTGGGTACTTCATATTTTCATATACTTTTTCTTATTTCATCTCCTATATGTTTTTGATAAATACAAGTTGCAAGTAGTTTGTTTATTGATTTTATATCTAGCAAACTTGCTAAAATTTTGAATAAATTTTAGTAATTTTTCTGTAGATTCCTCGGGATTTACGGGTGTGTAATTTTATCATCTGTTAAGAATGTCAATTTTCTTTTCTTTTCTTTTCTTTTTCTTTTTTTTTTTTTTGAGACAGAGTCTTGCTCTGTCTCCCAGGCTGGAATACAGTGGTGAGATCTTGGCTCACTGCAACCCCCACCTCCCAAGTTCAAGCGATTCTCCTGCCTCAGCCTCCCAAGTATCTGGGATTACAGGTGTGCACCACCATGCCTGGCTAATTTTTTTTTCTTTTTTAAATGGAATTTTGCTCTTGTTCCCCAGGCTGGAGTACAATGGTGTGATCTTGGCTCACTGCAACTTCTGCTTCCTGGGTTCAAGCAGATTCTCCTGTCTCAACCTCCTGAGTAGCTGGGATTACAGGTGCCTATCACTATGCCTGGCTAATTTTTGGTATTTTTAGTAAAGACTGGGGTTTCAAGGGCCGGGCGCGGTGGCTCAAGCCTGTAATCCCAGCACTTTGGGAGGCCGAGGCGGGTGGATCATGAGGTCAAGAGATCGAGACCATCCCAGTCAACATGGTGAAACCCCGTCTCTACTAAAAATACAAAAAATTAGCTGGGCATGGTGGTGCGTGCCTGTAATCCCAGCTACTCAGGAGGCTGAGGCAGGAGAATTGCCTGAACCCAGGAGGCGGAGGTTGCGGTGAGCCGAGATCGCGCCATTGCACTGCAGCCTGGGTAACAAGGGCGAAACTCCGTCTCAAAAAAAAAAAAAAAAAAAAAAAAAGACTGGGGTTATTTGTGGCCTAGTAAAATTGTTTTTGTTTTCTGTAGAGGATTATCATTTGAAAATATATCATTTATGGCTTGAAGTTTTTTGAACCATTCAGATGCTGTAAATTTGGGCTGAGGTTTGAATGAGAGCTCATGGTTACAACTTCTCATGAATAGATAATCCCCAAGGGACCAAGACAATGTTTGTTTTTGTGTTTTGAGTTGAGGTGGGGAGTGGATCATATGGCGATGACTACCTTCTGGTTCATCCTTACCTTTAGGGCATAATCTTTTTGGGGTGCCAGGTTTATGGGACAGAATTTTCCTCTTAGGCTATGCCTTCGGCAAGATTTGGGCTTTAAAGTCTGCTTCTACCTACTCTAGGAGACCATCAAAGCTGAATATCAACCTGAATAGATAGGGAGGGGAGAGCTTTGATGCTTCCCTTAGGGGAATTTATCAGAATTAAGAGTGGAAGGTGGTGATTTCTGTCAGGGATAATTATGTATATATATGTACAGTATATAAAAACATAGCTTGGATTTTTTTTAAAAGTTGAGAAACACTATTCTGTAATTGTATTAAATCCTGTTTTCTAAAATTTCACTGAAATTGCAATTCTACAAATTCTGTAATAAAGTTCTTTTATATTTTGTGATTCCTTAGATAATGTGCTGAAAACTATAGATAACTTTTCTCCAGAGATAATTCACATATGCACACCTATAATTGCAGATGGTTTAAGAGATCCTCTAAAGTACATTCATGGAGTCAGTGTAAGAACGTAAGCTCTAAAAGGCCGGGCATGGTGGCTTGCATCTGTAATCTCAGCACTTTGGGAGGCCGAGGCAGGTGGATCACCTGAGGTTGGGAGTTCGAGACCAGCCTGACTAACATGGAGAAATGGCTGTCTCTACTAAAAATACAAAATTAGCCAGGCGTGGTGGCACATGCCTGTAATCCCAGCTACTCGGGAGGCTGAGACAGGAGAATCGCTTGAACCCAGGAGGCAGAGGTTGCGGTGAGCTGAGATCACACCATTGTACTCCAGCCTGGGCAACAAGAGCAAAACTCCATCTCCAAAAAAGAAAAAAAAAAAAAAAGAAAGTAAGCTCTAAAAATACTGGATAACGACTTGAATTTCCAAAAATAAAGAATAGTTAAATAAGTATGGCCATGCATGAAAACAGAATTTTATGAAGACATTAGAAAGAAGGTAACTTTATATATACCAATATAGATAGATGCTAAAGATACAATTTCAAGTAAAAAGAGCAAGTTGCAGAGCATACTAGAATAATTTTGTTTGTATACATATTATGCATGTTATGATTCCATTTGTGTATGTGTATGGAAAATATCTGGATTACACAAGAAATTTGGACAAAGTGGCTGGATGAGTATTATGGAGACTTTTTTCTTTTCTTTTTTTTTTTTTTTTGAGACAGAATTTCGCTGTTGTTACCCAGACTGGAGTGCAATGGCGCAATCTCGGCTCACTGCAACCTCTGCCTTTTGGGTTCAAGCAATTCTCCTGCCTCAGCCTCCCGAGTAGCTGGGACTACAGGCGCGCACTACCATGCCCAGCTAATTTTTGTATCTTTAGTAGAGACGGGGTTTCACCTTGTTGACCAGGATGGTCTCGATCTCTTGACGTCATGATCCACCCGCCTCGGCCTGCCAAAGTGCTGAGATTGTAGGCGTGAGCCACTGCGCCCGGCCTGAGACTTTTTTCTTTAAAGTAAGTTATCTTTGAACATCTCCTTCACCTAAATTTGTATAAATGTTTTGGACATATTAAATAAAAATAAAGCTAATTAAAAGATGAATCTTTTTTGTAATATATGTTTTATTTATAATCTACTCCAAAGAAAAAAGTGACTTTGTGTTTATTGCTCTTCAGATGAGATCCTTTCCTGTAGCTGAAAACTTTGATCTCCCTTTCCTTCTTTGTTTATCTAAAGGTTAAAAGACAGTTTTGGACTTTCCATCCTGACTTGACTCATCATTGGTTGATCATCTTGCTTTTGATTCTCCTCTTCAAGTTTTCCATTTCTTATTTATGTGTAATGCCCTGACATTATAAGAATAAAATCCAGATATATGTAAATTATATTGAGAATATTGCCTTCATTTCTATACGAATTTGCTTAATTTATGCTCTTTTAAGTCACACTTTATGATTTTAATACAAACTGGTTCATGGATTGTTAATTCAAATTATGCTGTTACAGTCAACCACACGAGATGAGGTAATTGGAAAGATACCATGTTCTTACATAATGATCTCGGTCACTGAAGGACTCTCCCTGTCATGGATTTGTACAGATGAATTTATTTGAGGGTGAACAAAGTAATTCTAATCTTTACCAAACATTAAATTTTCTACTTGATATTTCAACTTAATGACATCCAATTTTTTTTAAGCAGAGCAAATTTTCTAACTTAATTATCTGATATTTATGAGGCATGTTGGATAACGTTAGAAAAGAGACATTTTTCCTGACTTCTGTTACGGCAGGGTTTGGAATGAAGTAGGGAAATGTGTATAATAAACATAGAAATCACTACAATGAAAGATACATGAAATGTCCAAATATTCTCTTCTACTGACCACGGAAAGTTCGTATACAAACCAGTCAAGCGTCTGGTTGTCTGTCCCATTTTTTTTGTCAGTAAATAGGAACTCCACCTTCTTGCCCAACTCATTCATTCATTCCTGCAACAGTGGGTGTGGTGGCCTCTGCTGTGACTGGCTGAGGACAACCTCCTGGGGACCAGGGAAGCTGCTGGGGATGTACTTTAATGAGAATACTTACCAGCAGATGGCCACCATCTCCGGCTTGCAATCAGTTATTTGCTAATGACTTCCTTATGTTTAACCCAACTCTGTCTTGCAATGTAACCCCCTTACTTTGAATTCTAATATTCCAAAAGAAAGAAACTGGCAATCTCCAGTTTGTAAGCCCCCCTTCTTCCCCTCATAACTATGTTTCAATAGTCAGCCATTCCATGAATTCAATGTTCTCATCCCATGGATGACCTTGGTCTTGACAGGCCTTCCTCAATAATCACTGGATTTTCTGCCTCTAATCCAAACAAACCCTTCCTAATTCACTCTCCGAAATGCCTTCTGAGTTGTATTTTGAAGAGATAAACTCAATCACTTAATTCACTGGCTTAAAGATCTTCAGTGGCTCCTCATTTCCTAAAGAATGAAGTCCAAATTCCTTGTCTGGATTTTGACAGTTCAACCCTTTATCCTCTGCCTCTTCCTATTCCCTCCCCACATACCTTTTGCTTTTTTCTCCAATATGTGTGTGTTCCTGCTTCCCTGGCTTACCACATGCAGCCCCTTCTGCTCGGAATTTTCACCTTCCCTTTCTTTACCTGGCCAATTCCTATTATATCTTCAGATGTGCTGCCACCTCTCCTGTGAGGTGTTCCTGGGTTATCCACTTTGTCTCTGTGCTCTCTTAGCCTTTAAAGTCTGTCTCTTACACCTTTCATTCACAAATGATAGATTTCTGTCTCCCCAAGAGATCAGAAACCATGTCCTCACTGTTTCTGAGTCCAGACCCTACACAGTGCCTGGTTCAATAGAATTTTTTTTTTTCAATTATATTTTTGCACATCATTTTTTGCTTTTTTGTTTTTTGAGACAGAGTCTCGCTGTCTCCTAGACTGGAGTGCATGGCGTGATCTCTGCTCACTGTAACCTTCACCTTCTGGTTCAAGCGATTTTCCTGCTTCAGCCCCTTGAGTACCTGGGACTATAGACGTGTGGCACAATGTATGGCTAATTTTCATATATTTTAGTAGAGACGTGGTTTCTCTGTTGGCCAGATTTGTCTCAAACTCCTGACCTCAAGTGATTCACCCTTCTCGGCTTTCCAAAGTGCTGGGATTATAGGCATGAGCCACCATGCCTGCCCAACTTTTAATGTCTTAAATGAATTCATATGTCTTTCTAAGGGAACCCAATCTTTTCCTAAGAACAAAACTGAACTATCACAAAATGAACCTCTGGATGTGCCTGATTACCCAAGAGGCAACAATGATACCCCATCCTTTTGATCGCTGTAAAATGTTGCAGTGTATGTTTATGGATATTTGTAGGGATACTGAGTGAGCAAGAAAGGGGCAAAGGCTGATCAAGGAATCTCATTTTTTCTTAATTTTAAGACCCACAATCTGGTAATATAAAATGAAAAGTGCAAATCCCTAGGCAAGTCTCCATCTGAGGCTCTCCTCTTGTTTGCCTTCTAGAAATATGTTTAGTTTATTTGGTAAAGGAGCCACACTTTGCTCCTGGTAGCACTTTCCTGTGTCTATAATTTTGCTCTTTTAAAATGTTTTTCTAGGCCAGGCGCAATGGCTCACAACTATAATCCCAGGACTTTGGGAGGCTGAGGTGGGAGGACTGCCTGAGTCCAGGAGTTTAAGACCAACCTGGGCAACATGGCAAAACCTTGTCTCCCCAACCAACAAGAACAACAAAAAAATTAGCTGGAAATGGTGGCACACAACTAACTGTAGTTCCAGCTACTCAGGATGCTGAGGTGAGAGGATTGATTGAATCTAGGAGGTCAAGGGTTCAATAAGCCATGATCCAAGTCACTGTATTCCAGCTTAGGCAACAGAGTGAGATACTGTATTAAAAAATAAAAATAAAAAACTAGTTCTTTAAATATGATATCAATATAATAGAGTTTTGTTAAGAACTTATTGAATTCCAAATACATTAGAAAGACTAATGCCTGACTTACGTTGCTTTGGCACCTAAAGTATAGTATTTTCAATTCATAAATCTATGGTATGTTGCATTATCATAATTGTAGGTTTTTGTGCTAAATAGATTTTTTTTTTTTTTTTGAGACAGTGTCTCACTCCATTACATTGGCTGGAGTGCAGTGGTGTGATCATAGCTCACTGTAGCCTTGACCTCATGGGCTCAAGTGATCCTCCTGCCTCAGCCTCCTGAGTGTCTACCACTATGAACTTGTACCACTATACCTAGCTAATTTAAAAAAATCTTTTGTGAAGATAGGGTCTCATGGTATTGCCCAGGCTGTTCTTGAACTCCTGGCCTCAATTGATCCTCCCACCTCAGCCTCCCAAACTGTTGGGATTACAGGTGTGAGCCAAAATGCTTGTCTTATTTTTTTTCCCATCTTGTGTATGTGTGAGAGAGAGGGAGACAAGAGTCTTACTCCATCACCCAGACTGGAGTGCAATGGCATGATCTCAGCTCAATGCGACTCTGCCTCCCAGGTTCAAACAATTCTCTTGCCTCAGTCTCCCAAGTAGCTGAGATTACAGATCCCCACCACCACACCCAGATAATTTTTTTTTTTTTTTTTTTTTTGTATTTTTAGTAGAGACGGGGTTTCGCCATGTTGGGTCTTGAACTCCTGACCTCAAGTGATTTGCCTGCCTCGGTCTCCCAAAGTGCTGGGATTACAGGTGTGAGCCACTGCGCCTGGCCCATCTTGTGGTTTTATACTTTGTTTTTTCTCTCTCAGTCACATTAATGTACATCTTACTGCCTTGGATGTCCGCTTTTTAATGAAATATTTATATTTTATAAAGATCACAATGACTATTCTGTTAATCTTACATTTTTTAAAGTGTGAACATTTTAAGAATAATACCACATTCCTGAGGCATTCTGTACTCTCTGTTTTTAACATCAGTAAAACATTCAATATCATCAATACTTGATACCATTAATATTTGATTCCTGTATTACCAGAACAGCTCTAGATGAGTCTGATCATAGCATGAAGTTCAATAAAATCCTAAAATGGTCACAATGGCTTATGGCATCAAAGTGGATTTAATAAGATAAGGTTGCAGTCATTGAATAAATCTCATTTCCTTTCATTCACTGTATCCAACCACACTTAGTGGTAAGTCCACAAGAGCTCAAAAAATAATGCTACACTGTGCCTTTGTTTCAGCTTTTTACCGTCATTGGTTTTGAAAACAAAAGTCTGGCCAGGCATGGCTCACGTCTGTAATCCCAGCACTTCGGGAGGCTGAGGTGGACAAATCACTTGAGGTCAGGAGTTCGAGACCAGCCTGGCCAAAATGGTGAAACCCTGTCTCTACTAAAAATACAAAAATTAGCTGGACATGGTAGCACGTGCCTGTAGTTTCAGCTACTTGGGAGGCTGAGGCTGGAGAATCACTTAAACCCATGAGGTGGAGGTTGCAGTGAGGCAAAATCATGCCATTGCACTCTAGCCTGGGAGACCACAAGACTCAGTCTCAAAAAGAGGAAAGAAAAGAAAAATCCCCAAAGCTGTGAACCATGACCTGGGTGCTATTAGCAGCGTCCAGATGAGCCTGTACAGAAGCACAGGAAAAGCACGAACGTGCCGCTTTGTGCAGACAGTGCAGCCATTGGCTGTCACAGGGTTAGAATTTTGTATAGGAATCACAGCCCATTGGCTTCAAATCTGATCACATATGAAGTTTCCAAAGGGCCAGCTTGGCATAATATCAGATTATGCCAAAGCATAAAAAGCCTCTGAAATCCTGATGCAGGTGATGATGAAGTAACCGTTTGGTGAACATAATACACCATTGAACATAACTGTTTTGCTACACAGACTTGCCTTTTAAATTGATTAGCCTAGTGAGATAGGGTACTTGATTTGCCTAGTGAGATAGGTATTTTTTTTGTATCCCTCACAGCTCCTAGGATAGTAGTGTCTTCCTTGTGATAGGTGCTTCATACATATTTATTTTTTAAAAATAAAGAGATATAGGGGCAACTTGGTGTAAAAGTCTGACTTAAGGACTGCTCTGGGCTAAGTACCATGTTGTCCTGTTCTCTTCTCACTCCAAGCTACATGCCAAAGTCCTTGATCTGTAGCCCAAGCAATAGAGAATGGTCCACTCTTAGGTGTAAAACCAGATTTCTTTCCAACATGCAATAATAGTATTCAATCTCCAAAAGCACTTCCAGGAAAGTCAGGATCTGACACACAGCAAGACACACAGCAGCAGGTGCTCTCAGCTTGGGTCTGAAATGAATTATTGGTTGAACAAGTGATGGAAACCAACAAACCTCCCAAACTGAGGAGAAATGAAATACATGGAGAC